TGCTGGCACTGCCCAAGAAGGCTGTGGTGACTTGCTGCGGGATTGCCCACCCAGTTCTGTGCTTTCTGTCCATCCTGAATCTGAGTCCACGGACCCAGCAAAGAGCTTCCCAGTGGCAGGGCACCAGGGCCTATGGAGTTGTGCTGCCCTAACCATGCAAAGATTTATTTTTTCTGTGAAGTGTCCCAAAGAGGAGAGAGGTCTCCAGCTCGGTGTTACGTGGTGGCAGGTTTGAAGGATGCACTCAGCTGAGCGTTCATTTCCTCACCTGTAATATGTAAGATCTCAGCACAGGACTGGACCGAGGAACGAGAACTCACTATCTACCACTTATGCATTCATTTAGTCAACATTGGCTGCACAGAAGTGGCTGCCTTCTCATCCTCAGGGGATCCCACTCCGAGAATTCTCCATCACAGGTTCTGGGTGCCTGGACAGTTTGAGAAAGCCTGTATCATTTGGGGAATATTACACAAATGGAACCCTATAGTATGAGGCGGTGTGTATGTAACTGTCTTTTTCTCACTTCCCCCTTGAGATTCACCAGGCCGTTGCCTGTCCTACCAGTTCATTCCTCTTGTTGCTGAGAGGTGTCCCACATGGACCACAGTTGGTCTAACTGCTTGCCCACTGAAGGACATCTGGGTAGTTCCCAGGTTTTGCCTATTTTGAATGAACCTGCTAGTAACATCTGTGCACAGGTGTTTTGCTGAACATGCTTGTTCATTTCTCTAAGATAAGCATTCAAGAGTATAGTGCTAGGTCTCATGCTAGTTGCATGTTGACCTTTATAAGAAACTGCCAACCTGTTTTCTACTGTGATTGACCATTTTATATTCCCCTCTGCAGTTGTGAATGATCCCAGTTCTCTGCATCTTCGTCAGCATTTGGTGTGGTCACTGTTTTACTTCAGCCATTCTGATATGTGCATAGTGACATCTCATTGTGGTTATAAATGACAATGATGGTGAATATCTTTTCATGTGCTTATTTGCTACCCATATCTACTCATTGGTGAAATGTCTGTTCATGTGTTCTGGCCCATTTTCTAATTGGATCTTCCTTTTTTTACCTGATAAGTTTTGAGAGTTCCTTACATATTTTAGATTACACTTCTCCACATACTATGTGACTTACAAATATTTTCTCCTGGTCCACAGCTGGCCTTGTCATTCAATTAACAGAGTCTTTAGCAGAGCAAAAGTGTTGAATTGCGGTGAAGACCAATTTATCAGCTGTTCTTTTTACGGTTTGTGCCTTTGGTATCAACTTAACAATTTCTTCATCGAACAAGAAATTTAATCAAGGAGAACTATTACAAAAAAACAAACAACTAAAAACCAGTTTCCAACTGGAGGGTGGAGCCTTTGACTATGAACCAAATGTAGTTTGGGGAAACAGAGAGAAGAGATTATTTTTATAGAAAAAGCTGCCCCCAGGCTCCTGTTCTGGTGTGCATATGTGAATGAGGGCTGCAGCCTCCTTCGGTCCTGATTAGTTGACTTCCCAGCCATTGTCTCTTTAAGCAGCAGCACCAGAAACACAGCATGGACGGCCTCTGCACCATGTCAGTTTGCGGTTCTTCTGAGACGCAAAGTGCAGTGTGGGCTCCTGTCAGTACGGGGCTATCTGACTCCATTAATTGGGCTTCAGTTGGCCTGATGGAATCTATCCTGTTTTCTGGCAGAGCAGGATTTTGGGGGAGGTGGAACTCACTTACTTTTGGCTTATTTTCACAAACTCTAAGACCCATTGTACTAGCATGGTTTATATTTTGGCATATCTTTTTGATGTTTATAAGATCTGTAGAGATGTCATCTTTTTCATTCCAGATATTCATCATTGGTGTCTTCTCTGTTAGTCATTACCTAGGTATTTATCAGTATTTTTTTTTCAAAGAAATAACTTAAAATTTCTATCCTTTTGTACATTTTCCATTTTATTAATTTGTTTCTATTATTTCCTTTGGGTTTGTTATAATGTTTCTAATTTCTTGAAATAGGTAATCAGATTTGTGGCTTTCGGTTTTGCCTATTAATATATGATTTTAGATAATAAATTTCTATTTATAAGGATGGCTTTAGCACTGTAACACAAGTAATAACATGTCATATACACAGTAGAATATAAATAATAAATATGTCCTAATTTCCAAAATTGATGTAATGCGAACAGTAAACAGAAGGACGTTACAAAACCCATCGCTGAAAGGACACACGCTCAGCAGAGGTGGCGTGAGAAGGGACTCGGGTGGACAGTCGGGAGCTGAGAAACACATGTGGGAAAGGAAGAGACTGGGTGGAATCGGCAGCCATGCAGACTCAGCAAAAGAGAACGTGGGGGATGTGCACCCTGTGCCCAGGGAGCGGGGGAGGGAATGCCCACAACCGGCAAGGGGACTCCGGGCGACTGTCCAGCCGCGGGCATCCGTACACTTGGACTCCTGGGAGGGGAGGACAGAGAGGCGGAGAGAGAGGGCGAGCCTTTGGAGAGATGGCAGCGGACACAGGCATCTTCCGCACCAACCCGGGCATCAGCCACAGCCTTGCCGGGTGCAGGGCCCCTATCCAGGCAGCACTGAGCTTCAGCGCGGGCTGCTCTCCCACATCTCACCTGGAAGGGCGGTCTTGCGTGATGGCTGCTTAGCAGGTGTTTTCCTGCCTTCCTAAAGACATACAGTGAGCAAAGTAGGGAAGAACTTGATTCTGGTGTGATAGCGAAGTCTTTCTCAGGGCTGCCGAGAGGCACAGGGCTGTAGGCGCCGCACGTCCGAGCACCAGGCTCTTGACTAGAACCCTCTGGTGGCTCCACCTGGTGCCCGAAGCCAGGGCGCACTGCACCGGAAGCACCCCTGGGACGCAGGTCCCAAGGGCAACGGAAGGCTCTGCTGCCAGAGCAGCCGGCTTGGTGCCCAGTGAGCACACACGCTGCCAAGTATGTGAGGGTGCCGGCACAGCTCCCCTTGGGTGGCTGGGCGCCAGCTGATGTCGGTCTGTGCAAAGAGGTACCAGTCCCGGTGCAGCCTCTGCTGGAGACGTGGGGCGCCTGTTACTTCTCATTTCAGTGGCTGGGGCGTGGAGGGAAGGCTGCCTCTGGGCCTCGTGCCTCCCCACCCCCACCCCCACCCCCAGGACAGGCAATCCCAGCTCGGACTGCAGCCCTTCCCCAGGATGCTCCTGCTTGTGCTCCAACCTCTGCCCCACCGGCAGGACCCCTCACCTCTGCTTGGCGTTGTAGGCACCCCAGGAAGAACTCGGGCGAGGGTTCCAATCCCCACTGTTCCACCAGCTGGTCCTGTGCCCTCAGGCAAAAATCCTCGTGTTCTGGGCCCTCATTGCTGATTGGGGAGGTGGGTCAATGGCAGTCCCTCGCCTGGAGCCTTGTGTGTATGTGACAGATATCAAGTGTGGGCCGGGTGACGCACAAGGGTCTGGTTTTGGTGGGTCCGTTAGAGCAATAGTATATCACTAATAATGTAGTTATTGCTCCTCCTTCAGATTCTTTTGCAGGTCCTGTGAAGGACAGAAAGAGTCGGACTGCTCGTGCCAGCCACATGGTGCACCCAGCTTCCGGGTCGTCCCAGCAGGGGCGCCCACAGTTTGCAGGTGAGGCAACGCCGGGGGCCACCAGAGGGCGCCTCGCGCTACCCGGGGCCCCTGTTGCTCTGGGTAAAACGGTTAACGTCAATACAGCGTCCTTGGCACATGTCGAAGGCTAAACGGAGCCTATTCTGAACACTGACCAGGCGTACAGGTCACAGCAGGGACTCGCATCTGGAATGTTCTCAGTATCCCAAGGCTGAGTGCTGAGGAGCCCAGGGCCTGTCCCTTCCGCCTCTCCGTAGTGGGGGAAATGAAATGTGTCCCCGTGGGTGTATCAACATCCGTGCCCACACTGGCCTGTAGGTCCCTCATCCTATCCCGGGTCACTTCCCTTTCTTTGGAGCCAAAGGTGAGCAGCTGTCTTGGTGGGTACTGCCATAGGGGGGCAGCTTTGGTCACTCAGGGTCTCTGAAAATATGTCATTTAGCTGGGATTCTTTAACGCACATTTAACTGGATTTAAATACAGGAATTAAACGGACATTTTCCCAACACACTTTGACAATATAGGTGTTTCCCGACATCTAATGGTGGCTCCTGAAAAGGCGTTTTTCTGGACATTTGTCTCAGTTTCTAGCAGCTTTGAGTTTTTTCTCTTCACTATTAAGGTTCTGCCTAAAATACAGAGGATATATGTTTACATGGGGTGGGGGGTGTTTGGGGGAGTGGTGAGCCCACATACGTACTGGCATAACTCTGTGACTCGCCTTTTTAGTTAATCCGTGGTGGACGTCATCCTATATGAATACTTAGAGATGTGCTGCATTTCTTTGTTTTATTTCTGTTTTTACAGATGCCTAGTGTCCCAATAATCAGACACTCCAAAGTGAGCAATCCTTTTGTTAAATGAAGGTCATGTTGGGTCTATTTTTTACATTACCCAAATTATGGAAACAAAGACGTCTGCACCTATTTCCATAGTTCAGACTCTTGGAATATAGTTCCACTACAGGAGAAAATTGCCTCCCTCACCGGCAGCACAGTGTCTGCCTGACCTGTAGAAAGTCCCCACGGACATGTGCCCACTGATGAACGGCAGGGCGCTTGTGGCCACTGACGTTTGGCTGGCCCCACCCTCATCCGCACTGCACTAAGCCCACAAGCCGGACAAGCAGTCATGCGGGAGGCCACGTGAGGGGCCTGGAGCTGGTGCTGGGGTCCTCAGAGGGGCTCCTTGCTGGAAAAGGCGCTGGTGGGGCTGGGCACAGAGCCTGGGCCTGCCACCAGGGTTCGTCGGCGGCTCTGCCTGGGCCTCGCTTCCTCAGAGGGCCCGGCCTGTTCCATTTGTACAGGGCGCGGGCCAGACGGTGCTGTGACCCTGGGAGAAGGCTGGCCGGGGGCGCTGGTGCCGCGCAGAAGGGCCCTGGCGGCGCGGCCCGCCCCGCAGTGCGGTGCGTAACTAGCTGGTGGCCCGGAAGGTCAGCAGGGGGAGGCTGGAGGGCATGAGGACGTAGCGGTAGATCATCCGCACGTCCTCCTGCGTCAGCGTGTCCACCAGGAAGCCTTTCAGCACCTAGGACAGAAGCGAGTCCCAGAGCCGCGCGCGCCTTCAGGCGCGCCCCGCCCCTAGCGCGCCACCCTGCCCGGCCGCTTACGTGGTGCAGAAATAGGAGCATCTCCACCTCCGCCAGGCGCCGCCCCAGGCACTGGCGCACGCCGAAGCCGAAGGCCAGGTGCATCAACCTGCTGCCGGCGGCCCTCGAGTTCAGCCAGCGCTGCGGATGGTAGCTCTCGGGCCTGGCGAGCACGCTGGGGTTTCGGCCCAGAGAGTAGAGGCACACCTTGACCAGGGTCTGCACATAGGTGGGGAAGGGCAGGGTCAGCGGCCCCGGGCAAAGATCCCGCGGGCCAGCTGCCTGCTGGGGGTCCGTGGGGCCTCACTCACCCCGGCCGGGACGTGGTAGTTCTGCAGCACCAAGTCTGAGCTCACCCGGCGTTCCACAAAGATACCCACGGGGTACAGCCTATGGACAGGGCCACCAGCAGGTCCTCAGCTGGCATGGGGCCCACAGTTCCCTTCTGCCGCCCTCCCAGCCCAGGATGCACCCGCCAATGGGAGCTCCCCTCCCCCCTCACAGCACCCCACGAGGAGCTGCTTCCCCGCTCCTGCTGAGCTCAGCCAAAGCTCCCCCAGCCTGAGCAGCCCTGGCACAGGATAGCACCCACATATGATGCTGGATACCCGAGGGAGGGCAGGGGCTGGAGCTGCCTTGGGGAAGCTGTCTCTGGGCCCCAGGCTCCGTGTGTAAGCCCAGTGAGCCCTGCCCTCCAACCGGTGGACCCGGCAGCTGGGCAGCCAGGGTCTGCCCCACCTACCTCAAGGTCTCCTTGAGAGCTGCCCGCAGCAGGGGCAGCTCCGTGAGGACCAACTGGGGGTTTTCAGAGATCTTGGCCTCGGCCACCAGACTCTCCTGGCGTACGGACTGCTGCAAGGTGGGGTTCCGGGCCAGCTCAAACAGGGTCATCAGCAAGGGGTAGGACGTCTGTGGGAGCCATGGGTGCCAGGCACCTCAGCCTCAGGATGCCCCTCCCAGGAAGATGGCCTTTCCCCAGGGGGCGGGATCATCTCAGACCCAGGGTGCCATGCGCACTCAGAGAAGGACACAGCCTCTGGACCTGAGACCTCAGGACCCTACTCCCCACCTCCTGGTCAACTTTCCCTGAATCCCTCCAGGGTGGTGCCCCTAGACTCAGTGAAGACTCAGGCGTCCTCCAGCCAGTTAAGGGTTCTTGGAACTTGGGAGGAGGTTCTCACCCTGCTCCGGGGTCCAGGAGGGGCTCACTCTGGCCATTGGTGGTGGGGAGGTGGGGGAAAGGGGCCCTGGGGCCCAGGTCCATCTGCTCCCATGGGGTCCTCCCCTGGGGTCCTCCTGGTCCTAATGTGAACCGGCCACCCTGGCCCCCAACCCTGGCCGTGTGGCTGCGTCTCAGCCTCTGCTCAGTGAGTTTCCCCACCACAGGCCTGGGCCTCTGCTCAGAATCCCAGTGCCCAGCCCTGGCAGCACATCAGAGATGCTGGCTGGATGGTGGGTCTAGAGGCAGGCAGCTTCAGCTTCCTTCCCTCTTGCTGGCACCCTCCCTGCCTGCCAGGCCCTGCTGCCATCTGCTCTCTCCTCCGCAGGCTGCAGTCCTGGACCAGTCCTGTGGGCATCAGCCCAGCACCTCCTCACCCAGGATCTCCAGTGACAGTCGCAAGAAACCTGTCAGTGGGAAGGGCCCCTCTTCAAGGGACCCAGATGGTGCCTGTGGTTCTGTGCTGCAGCGTGCCCCCTGCCCCGGCCTCACCCGCTCTGCACTCTGGCCAGAGCCCCATCCCTCACCACCTGGCCCCCGAGTTCCCTCCCCTCAGCGCCTTCCGTCAGTCCGGAAGTTGAGGTCCAAGACTGGAATCCTGCAGGCACTGACTCGAGACCAGGGGCATGAGTGTCAGGTGGGTCCCCAGTTCTGTGAGGAGGGGGCTGGTTGCCAGCCTGACCGTGTCCACGCTCCCGGCAGTGAGGTCCACAGAGTTGGCCCTGATGGCTTCCAGGCTCATCTCTGCATGCGCAAGAAGCTCCCCTAAGAGGCCACTGTAGTGCTGCGAGGGGCTGAGGGCCAGCTCCTGATAGGTTCTCTGAATGGCACCGTTGGCTGTGGGGCAGGTGTGGGTCAGGGAGACTGAGACCCTGGGCCAGGTGCCGGCAAACCCCTGTAGTCCTCCTACCCACCAGCCCTCCACCCCTGAGTGTCCGAGCTCTTACCCCAAGTCAGGGGCCAGCCCCACCCTGCCACACTGCTAACACTCTCCGGCTGGACCACGAGGAGGCCACGACCACGGTGGGTGGAGACCAGGGGCCCCAGTGTCCCTGCCCCACAGCACCGCGGGGCCCCTGGCCCTCACCATACTGGAAGACGTAGTCCCAGGCCTCAAAGTGCTCTCTCCATGTCGGGGAGCTCACCCAGCGTGACAGGCTCCTGGGCATGAACATGAGCTGCACGGTGGATTTTAAAATGGCCTGCAGAGCATGGAGAAAGCCCATGCTGGCAGCACTCGGGCCTTGGCCCAGGAGGCCCAGCCGCTCTCCATACAGGACGTAGTGGCTGGCTGTGGGGAGGACAGGGTTGCTGAGCCCGAGGCGGCCCACAGCCTCACAGCTGCCTCCCTCCCACCGGCCCTCCCTGCCCCAGTCCTGGCCTACTCTGGCATCACTGAGCCGCCCCTTCTGCAAGACCCCACACCTTCTATGCTGTAGTGGAAGATGCTGGGCTGGATGTCAAGGGTCAGGCTTCCCCGGGCATTCTGCAGCACCTTTGCCTTCAGGACCTTGCAGAAATCCCTGGCCACCCGGTCCACCATGGGGATGAACTTGTGGGTGGCCTGCAGTGACAGCACGTCTGGGTTCAGCTGCAGTCTGTCCGAGCGCCACTGGGGCCCATTTCTGTAGGGCAGAGAGCAGAGCTTCAGGCCAGCCCAAGGCAGCACCCGGCCCCCAGCCCTGTGCCCCACGCCCCGGTGTCTTCCTCACCCCCAAAGGGAGCAGGTGAGGCAGGCAGCTGCCCGCTGGTACTGGGGTATGGGCTGCCCACGTTTCAGCCTGAGCTGCACTGTTTCCTTCGCTGCAGGCCTAGGTGGGCTGCACCCAGGGTGCTCAAGGCTGAACCAGGCTGAGCCCCGAGCTTCTACCGGGAGGTGCCACACGGAGTCTCAGAGCTGGTTCCTGCCAAGTTGCAGGCCCCGTGCCTGGCACATGCCTCAGCCATCCCGCCCCCCAGTGCCCCAGGTATGGAGGCCTCTGTGAGGAAGGAGGCTGGCCCTCCTGCCGAGGCTTGCCAGTGGCGCTCTCATCGTGGCCAGAGTGGAGAGGCCCCTCCCAGCCCCCGTGGCCCCAGCCACCCTGCTGCTGAGATCCCCGCCTTTGTGCCAGTAGCACCTGCTGCTCTCCCTGCACCATCTCCAGCTGTTCTAAGGCTGGGACGGGATCATGCCTCTCAGAATCCAGGCAAAACAGGGCCCAGAGCACACGGGGCCCCGGGACCAACCTCCAGCAAACAGTGGGACGGGGCCCCCACTCAGCCACATTGGTGCCTGCACACCTTCTGCTCTAGGGCCAGCGCCCTGCAGGGATTGAGACCGATCACCTGCACACCCGACCAGAGAGCACACGCACGCACACAGGGAGATGCGCACAGCACACTCAGGTCACACACCCTGTACTGGAGGCCATGCATGGCAGACATCTAGTTCCCAAACACATGACACACGGCACGCTTCCTCAGACTTTCAGAAATGCACACACGCACGCACACAGAGACGCACACAGTGACCAAGGCAAGAGCACATGGCCACATGCACACTTGAGCAGGAACACACGCAGGTCCAGGTGGGCACACACCCACTCACACACACAATGGGAAAAAACCTGCCCACCCAGCAGGCACTCCTCAGAAGACACAGGATTGGGTTCACACACGCACCCTCCAAGGGCCTGGTATCTGAGCAAAGGTGCCGTGGGCCTGCTGTCTGCCACCCTGTCCCCAGGAAACCCACTCCTGAGGCCAGTGTCCCTCCCCTCTGGGACCCCCGGGGCCCCACAGAGGGCCTCAGCCCCCATGTAGTCTCAGGCCTGGCACACGCTGCTGTGTGCCCCTGGCCAGGGGCTCCTTTTCTCCAGGCCTGGGCTTCCTGGTCTGTGTGAGGGGAGCACCTCAATTCCCAAGGGAAACCCCCAAGGCCCACGCTGAGTGGGGGCCCCAGGTGGCCAGCATCCTCCCTCTTTCTGGGGATGCCCTGTCCGGGCCCCTGCCACGCTGCTGCTCCTCTTCCAGGCCCGGGTCCATGTGGCCACATGAGGGCCCTCAGAGGGGCAAGTGCCACCCTCTCCCTGCCCACCCAGACAGGCTCGAGGCCAGGTGTGCTTGGCCGGGAGGGGTCCCGGCTTTGCTGGGGCTGCACCCCTCCTGCCTCCTCCTGCCCCTCACAGCAGGAACACGCCGCATCTGTGCCCACGGTGCTCTCGGTAGGCCAGCCAGGGGTACAGAGGTGTCCTCCAGGGCTCAGAGCTTTCCACCCGCTGCAGCTGCTCCGTGTCCTCGGGCAGCATCACGAACACCGTGTGTGGCCCTCCCACGTCATACCTGTGGGACAAAGCTCAGGGCATTGCTGTGGGGCCGTGTCATCCCGCCCCTGAGCCCTGCTCTGCAGAACCAAGCCAGTCAGCCTCCTGCTGGCCTCCCCTTCTGGCCTGCGGCTCAGAGCAGGGAGTCCCTCCCGCTGGTAGCTGAAGCCTCTCCTGCCCCAGGGTCCACCTCCCATCTGCTGGGCCGCTGGCCTGGGTGCTCTGCCCTCACCAAGAGCTGGGGTCTCCACCGTCAAAAGTGCAGGCTGGCTCTGGCTGAGTGCCCGCCCTGCCTTCCTCAGGGTGCGCAGCACAGTGCCCGGCTGGGGTATGGCCCCGCACAGTGCCCAGCAAGGGCTCGGCGGCCAGTGAGGAGAGGAGGCTAGGGTGCTCCCACCAGGCTCAGGGGGAGGCCTTTACCTGAAAATGGGCCCCAGCTCCTGGAAGGTCCGATGCAAGTCCAGGTGGAAGTTCTCGGAGCCCTTATCCTTCCAGACCTGCAGCACCCTCACCCACTTGTTGCCAGGACTCTGGGGTATGGCTTCAAAGGGCAGCACAGCCTTGGGGACAAGAGAAGCTCCGGCTCCCAGTGCGCGTGCCCGGCACAGCGACAGCCAGGGCCCTGCCATCCGCATGTCCGCCTTTGCCCTGAAGGCCATTCCGCTGTCCCCTCCACCCCCTTTCAGCCCAGTCCTTTTATCTGGCCTGGAGGCCCGGGCTGGCCAACTCGATGGCGTCACTGGAGACACTGTCCCTGGACTGGGCCAGGGTACCCAGGGTGGGGGTCAGGGCCAGAGGAAGAGGAAAGAGATGGATGGGCACCTTGGCCCACAATTACGCAAGCGCTGCTCCTGGGTGGTGTGTAGAGCAGGTGCCGTGTCTAAGCTGGGGACCGAATGGGGCTGCCAGGGACCTCCTCCCTCCCCCGTGGGTCAAAGGAGCTGGTGGATGCGTCCCTTATCTTATCAAGAGATGAGAGGGGCCTTGGACATTTTCATCCCTCCCCACAGGAACCTGAGGAGGAGGGGAAGGGAGGGAAGGGGCGGGCTGCACCAAGCTCAGGAGCCTCTAGCATGGGGCCTCCTCTTCTCCAGCCCTGTGCAGGTGGCAGGGGTGTACACATAAGCCAGCAAGGAGCCATCATAGGGTGGGAGGCCGTCCGACCCGTGGGTGCAGCTGTGGGATCCAGAGACGCAGCCGGAGGCTCAGCTGGCTGACCTGGTAGTCCTGTTGAGCAGCCACGCCTGCCTGGACACGAGTGTCACTGGTGGGCAGGGGGGGGGGCGCCTGCAAGCCACTCCTTGCACAGAGGATGAGGAGCCGCCGGCTCACCTTGGCCCATGCTTGCTCCCGCGGCCCTGTGTGCAGTGCCCACACCTCCTTTCCCGCCCTGAAGGGTGCTGTCAGGGCTGCAGCCTCAGCACCAGGCCATAGTGGGAGGAGAGGGCCTATGCCGGGGGCTCCCCACCCTCCCAGGGGCTGTGTCCGGCAGGTGCTCAGCAGGAGCCGAGCCTCGGACTGCTGACCCGAGTCTGGGGACCTGGGTCCTCTCCTCTATGTGTGGCAGCATCCCTGTGAGGTGGAGGGTGTGCTGTCCTGGGCCCCATTTTCAGACGACTGAGGAGATGATTTCAGAGGACCCTAAGGCTCAGGGGTTCTGCCACCTCCCAAGGTCCCCAGCATGTTGGAGGGGCCCCAGAGCCCCGGCACCTTGCCCTCTCCAGAGGTTCCCGTGGTGCCCTACTTGGGGTTACGGCAATGGGGGAACCACAGCTAGGCTCTGGGGGGAGAATGCAGGGAAGGGAACAATCGGGTGCACCACCCAGGCCGCACCGCACTCTCCTGCTGCCCTGCCCGGCTCGGTGTCCCCCAGACCCCCGGCCTTTCCTTGTCTATCCTTGGGGATTTCGGGGCTGTTGCTATGGGCCAGTTTTCCGTGTCCCCAGCAGCCTGCCCCCAGGAAGCTGGGACACAGGCCGGCCCAAAGCCGGCCCCTCCCAGGCAGGGGCACTTGGGAGAGGTACCTAGCACTGAGCGCCCCTGCACTGGTGCCAACTCCTGCTGCCTCCCAGACCCCCAGCCTTGATGCCCAGGAGTGGGTCCCAGAAGAGCCTTCTTCAGATGGCTCAGCACCGGTAAAGATGTACGGGGCTGCTCCCCATGCCACCACTGTGCTCTCTGCCTCCCACAGGTGTGGCAGCCCCCCGCCCAGGGACTGTCTCCTGGGAAGGAGACTGCGTGTCCAGGAAGAGCAGCGGGACAAGGGCCCAGCCCACCCACTGAGGGCACGGAGAGGGGCCTGGATTCCCTCTACCTAGGGAGGGCGGGACAGTGTTGTATGGAGAGGAAGACAGGTCAGAGGCGTCCCAGGGCAAGGCCGGGGCAAGGGGCCCCTGTGTGTGGTGCCCTGTCGGGAAGGGGGACCGTCAGCTGAGGGGCACACTGAGACCCCTTCCCTGCTCTTTGCGCAAGAGCTGAGATGTGTGGGCTTTGGGGAGCGCATCCTGGTCGGCCTCCTTCTCCCCTGGGGGTGGGTCCCAGCTTCACCCCTTCACCACCCGCCCCGGCCACCCCCCAACCCTCAACACACACAAGCACACACAATGGTCCTTCCGACCTCCAACTCCAGGACTGAGACTGTACCCCAAAAAGGCCCTGGGACTCTTTTCCTGAGGCTAAGAGAAGGGAAGAAACCCGAATCCCAGCCTCCCGCCGCGCAAGCCAGAGCGGCCGGACCCTTGGCCCTGACGCCCTAGCTCTCTGTCGCCCTCTGGAGGCAGGCACGCTAACTGCAGCGGCACCTCCGGAGCCCGGCTTGCAGGACCGCCACGCAGCCAAGCCTGGAGGACACGGTGTCCCCTGTCCTTGAAGCTCGAGATGTAGGCTCCCTTAGGATAGCGCGGCGTCTACCCCCAGGGCCACGCGGACACGGACGGGCACCGGTGGGGAATGCCCCAGATGCGAGGCCGCAGGTTCACACGGTTGCTTTAAGAGTGGTGGTCTCACACATCCCTCCCCTTTCCCTCCCCGAGAGGTGTGCCAGGAACACGCTGCGATGTAGCCACGCCCTCAGCTGGTGTAACCCTGGTGCCCCCAGGGTCAGGGCCACCACAGAGGAAAGAACAGCCCCAGAGACAGCACAGCGCCCAGGATGCAGCTGAGAGCTTCCCGCTGACAGGGCGCACGGTAAGTGGCTGCAGCCCAACCGTGGGCCTGGCCCCATGTCACTGCCCAAAGCAAGGATCTGAGACAGGCCTGAGTCGAGATGGGGCTGCGGGGCCTCGTGCTGGGAGCAAGAAGGTAGATGGGCCGGGTGTGGGGGCCAAGGGCAGGTCCTGCCTCCTCTAGGGCTTGGGTGGGGTCCAGCGTTCATTCCCTCCCTCCCACAGGTCGGGCCTGGCAGGGGAGCAGCCCTCTGGGTCCCGAGGTGCCTGTGCCCCGAGCCCCCCTGGGCTGGGCGGTGCGGTCCTCATCTGCTCAGCTGCTCTGGGGGCAGCAGCCTCTCCCCTGCTCAGGCAGGCAGGCCCCAGCCACCTGGTCAAGCACTGTGAGGACAAGTAGGGCTCCTGCAGGGGTGATGCCTGGGACCCCAAGCAGGCAGACAGCCCTGTGGTGCGGAGCTCCCCTGCCAGTGTGGGAAGCCACAGGGACAAGCAGCCACCTAGGCCAAGTAGGCAAGTGGGTCAGGGACCGGCCCCAACTTCCACTCTGGGGCCCAAGGAGGTAGAGGGCCCTAGGTGCCCCACCTCGGCCTTGGGTGGCTGTCCTCCACACTGGACCAAGAACGTGGCCTGGCCTCGTCCTCACAAGAGTGACCTGGGTGAAGACTCGGCCAGCATGTGCTGAAGGAAGAGGGATGCATCTCACCTGACCACAAATAGCCCTCTGGTGCTGACGCCAGCTGCTGCCCAGCGCCCTGTGCCCCCTCCACACTGGGTTCCCTGATGCCATAGAGACCACAGTGCCCTCCTAGGAGCCCCGCGCATCTTCACCCCTCTGTGCCTCTGCACCTCCCGTGCCCCCAGGCTCATGGCATACCCCGTGCCTCTGGGTCTCGGTCAGGACTATCTCATGCAGACTGCCTGCCATCCTCCATGTTTAAACATGCAAAGCTCACAGCTTCCCACTTGGGTCTCCACCAGGCCTGAGCCAGCAGTGGGAGGGGCGCATGTGTGTGTGTCTGTGTGTGGGGGGGGGTCCTTCCTTGCCTCTTCCTGTGTCTCTCCCTCTGCCACCCCGCTTGCTTGCCAGTTTGCGTAAGGGCGGGGTGTAAGGGGGACAAAGGGGGCTTGCATCTTGGCGTCCTCAGCTGAAGTCACACTCTGGAAGCCAGGCAGGAGTTCTGATCTGACTCTGGGTGCGTGGAGATCTCTCCTGCAGGGCCCTCGCTGCCGCCCGATGCAGCCCTTTTCCGGGTAGACCCTGAGGAGCCTCTGAGAGCCCGAGCCTGGGGAGGTGGGCTCACCCCCAGCCGCTCCTGCCCGTCCCTCCGCCCCTCGAGACAGCCTGTGTGCGGGTGTCGAGAGGAACCCGTGCTGGTTGTCTGTCCGTAGCCCTCCTCCCTCCACTGGCGACACCAGCCACCCACCATCCCGACACCGTGGGTGCAGCCGACCCCTTTCGGTCAACATTGGCCGGGCCGCACTTCTCACTCCGTGACTGTCAGCCCTTCCGTGGACTGTGGTTCAGGGGAGACTCCCTGAAGCGCCACATGGCCACGTCTTGTTATCATACCCAGTCTCACGACCTGCCCTTCAGCTCTCAAATTCATTCTATGAACATATATTGTGGTAACTGATGTGTAGCAATGATTTACCCTGTTTTTTCTATTTTCCGTTGACCCCGGTATCATTTTTCTTCTTCCTTTCACTGTAGGAAGATAGACGTAGCATAAAATTTTCCAGCCTGGCCATTTGAATGTACAACTCAGTGGCCTTAAAAACACTGGCTTGGGGGGCCATCAGGTGAGAAATTGGGGATCAACAGAGGTGAGGCTTAGAACCTCACCCCCCCTGTTTTGAGAGAAATCTTCTGCATCCGTGGATGTTTTATTGCCCTTGTCTAGCTCGGATTAGCACATAGTCTACAGGCACACACCTGATCATCTACAATTGCTCTCTTACAACACTGAACTATGTTTTCTACCTTTATCTTGCGTCTACCTACCACTTCAGCATTTTATTTAAAATAATAATAATAATAATAATAATAATAATAATAATAATAAGGGAGAAATGTG